TCTGTTCACTTGCTAGTTGGTTTAACGCATGTGTGCTACTTCTTCAAAAGAAAGAGCAGGATAAATGAAACGAAATCCTAACCCAATCCTTGAGCCATCGAATAAGATACAATACCGTCACTGCCGGTTCGACAATTTGCTATAAAAGACGCAATGTCGCGTCGGAAGTGCCGGATGGCTATAACTCGGCTCGAACTTCTTCAATTGAAATTTAATCCAGATTTTTGAAATCAGCGTCCTCCAATCTATCAAGATGTGTTTTTAAAAATCTGAAATTCCTCAATTTTTGTGGTTCATAGGATTTCATGCATAGCTGGTGCCACTTCCACTGCTGACAGCTCAGGAGCCTGAGCGAGTCTCTCCTGATTGTATCTTTAGGTGCTAATGACTCCCATGAACGCCAGTTAAAAAATTCTGAATAATTTCAAAGAAGAAATTTTTAGAATAGGATTCTGACCACTGTCTCTCAAGTTCAGAAATTCCACTAGTTTTTGAGTTGATTAAAACGCAACATTCTTAAATTATACTTTCGAAGTTTATCATTTTCATATCTATTTTATGTAAGTAAAATCATTCCAGCACAACTTTTCCACGTTGAAATTTTATTTTTAGTTTTTGACTTTCTTTTTTAAATTTCTTAAATCCTAAGGGAGAAACTAGTAGAGTTTGATGTTTTTGATTTAAGTTTATAGATCCATTGAAATGTTCATTATGAAGGAACTGCATTATTCCCAACCCTTTTTTCAAGTTCGTAAATCATATCGCTTTTTGGGGTACAATAGAATTTGGAATTTTATAATGGAAAAACAATTTACTAATGTATTTTTCTATTCTATACTAAGTTTTTAACTCCTAAATCCAGTTGCATTACTGTGAAATATGTTTCTTCTCTATTTCTGGCAGATCCCTAGCAATGGGCTAATTACGAGAGCGATCGGGCTCTGGCTCTTAACGTGACCTAACTCTTCGCGTATGTGTGTAACACCTCACCTTCTATACAGTTTTATAGTCGGAATTTTGAGGAACTCCCGCTATGTTAGTAAAAATTTTGA